GAGCCCATTTCCTCTTGTCCTGTCCCTTGCTCCTTGGTTGAACAGACCCACCCCCACCTCTCTCCACCCTCCTCCAAGGGACTTGGACAGAGCCACAAGGTCTCCCCTCAGCCTCCTTTTCTCCAGAAGCCTGGCTTCAGCCCATACACAAATCCAGAGACAGACACAGCTTGGAGTGCAAATTGTGCTGTCCTGGAATAACAGAAATACTGTTCCCTTTCAGCAGCTAAATACAAACACCAAGACACTTTGAGGAGGAGAAAAAAGAAAAAAAACACACACACAAAGGTAACCCCACTGATGCCAGATTCCACTACTGGCTCCAGAGTGGTCTGAGGGACAGTTTGCACACTCAGCACAAATCCTTCCAAGAAAGTCATGCTTAAGTTTCAAATCCAATTCCACACAAGTAAGCAAGCTACCCTTAGCTGCTCTCAAAACTGACATTCTTTTTAAGTGTAAGAAGAGATAGGACAAGCAAGTGTGCAGAGTTAGAGGGCCCTGGAATATTAAAGTGAGGCAATGCCTAATCTGGCAGGATTTTAAACATCTCTTTATAATTTAAGCAGTAAAACATATTTCTAAGCTTCACTCTAAATAAGCAGATCAGGCTTTATTTTGAGCAATAAAAATGAGATTCAAACTAGAAGTCATGTTATAGCAAAAGAGCCTTCTTAAGCCCCTGTTTTAGACTATTTCTTCTTTGTGGGAATGAAGAGAAGGGACATCACTTTGGAGGTAAAACCTTGACCTTCCCTCCAAGCTGTAAGCTGCCAGGAAGCACTCTGGGGGCTCTGGAGTTAAATCACTAGGTATTTTTTTTCCACATCCCATTACAGCATTGCTTATTTTCCCCAGAACACTCCTATTTTGTAGTTGCTATGACAATTTGCAGCATTACTTATACTGCTATACACATGCAGTGATCAAGAGACAGATTTCTTTCTTTTCCAGGATTTAATGATCTTATACCTTAAGTAGGAAAGTTATACTCAGTTCTGCACGAGTGGGCTTGTTGGATGCTCTGATCCAATCTAATTCTGATGGAATATCATCCTCAGGCATGGATACAGCTCACAATTTACCTGTTACAGAACAGGAGCAAACCTACGAGGTGAACCAGTAACAGTAAATAAAAAGCCAGAGCACTCAATTCTGTTGTCCTCCTGCTCCAGTGTGTGGAAGCAGCTTTGAGGGAATTTACAACTGAGTGCAGAGAGAGAGTGAACAAACAGGCAAAAATTCAAATGGGGGTTTTGGGGTCACATGCTATCCGACTAACAGGTGAGGACAGTCCTGTCCTTGAGGATATGGATTGCTTGACTCCTTCTGACTACTCTTGAGCACATTTGTCACCAAAGCTGAAGGGTTCCTCAGGAATACAACAGCCCTGCCAGGTTCCTCAGAAAGGGCTATAAACACGAAGCACATTTGCTTGAGAGAGTCCAGCACAGAGCCACCAAGATGAAGGGAGTGGAGCATCTCCCTGCTGAGGAAAGGCTGAGGGAGCTGGGGCTCTTTAGCTTGGAGAAGAGGAGACTGAGGGGTGACCTCATTAATGTTTATAAATATGTAAAGGGCGAATGTCAGGAGGATGGAGCCAGGCTCTTCTCAGTGATGCCCAATGGTAGGACAAGGGGCAATGGGTGTGAGCTGGAACACAGGAGGTTCTGCTTCAACTTGAGAAGAAACTTCTTTCCAGTGAGGGTGCCAGAGCCCTGGGACAGGCTGCCCAGGGAGGGGGTGGAGTCTCCTTCTCTGGAGACATTCAAGACCCGCCTGGACACCTTCCTGTGTGATCTCATTTAGGTTCCTGCTCCAGCAGGGGGATTGGACTGGATGATCTTTTGAGGTCCCTGACATTCTGTGATTCTACCCAGTCCAGAAGGGCTCCCATTTGATACTAGTAAAACCCAAAATCATTATTTTAATCCTGTTTTGAGGGGGGAAACAAATGGCTGTACACGTGTGTCATCTCATTTTTAATCAGGATGAACCCAAGAAACACTCAAATCACATCTCTGCTTGCACTGTCCATTTATCAAATATCTGCTATTCCCCATCACGTGCCTAATGAACCAAAGCGCTACAGCCAGGTCCCCCCTCAAGGTGTCAATCACCCCGACCACAACAGGTACCCAGGAGCTTATCACAGCTGAGAATTTCTCAGTTCCACATCAACCTTTTCCTTCAATACTTAATTTTCTAGCGGGCCCATCCCTTCTTTTGCCCTCATTTACACAGAACATCACCACTGCAACAGCTACAAACATACCATAATATCTATAAGTCTTAACATCTGACCCACGGCAACATGCTTGCAATCAACTTAACACTTATCTGCTCAACTAATGCTTGATGGGAGCAATTATGTTTCATCTCTAGTGCCTTATGTTAACATAGTCTGAAGGGTTAGGGAAGTCCATCCCCCTCCTCCCTCAAAAAATCATTTAAAATAGAAGAAGAAACTGGATATTTGCTGGCTCAGCAGGAGGAACCACTTGACATTCCTCTGTCAGAGGAGGCAGAAAGGGAGGTTATTGTAAATTGGAGCAGACAATCCTGGAGTCGGTTCTCATTGGGGCAACAATCTGTTGTCTCCAGGCAATAACCTGCATTCGAAACGCTCTAGCCTGACGATACCCACTGTTCATAAATCAGGCTGTGGGGACAACCTTCCTCTGAGATTTATAACCTCCCCACTATCAACCAGTCTGCGAGTAGGCACAGCTAAATAAGTACAATACCACGTTGTTTCCTCCTGTGCTGGAAAACCCCCGTGAACCTCACACCAGTGTAGGTCCTTCCGTGTCCTGACTTCAGAGGAAGAATACAAAACTCCCATTGATCAACCACAGCAGAGCTCTTGGGTCAAAGCTAATGCTGGCCTTGTTTGTGCTGGTCTTCTCCACTTGGCTACTTTTATTTTGTTTATCTCCTGCACCTGGGTTAATTGCAGCAATTGAGTGATTGGGGTGGTGCAATAGGATGGAAATTAAGTTTGGGGGGGTGGGGGGGGGGAAGGAAAGGGAAAGACCTGGGTGGGCTGCAGAGGCATTAGGAAAAGCAAGACCAGCTGCATCCTGCAGAAACTCGGGTCAGCTGAAAAGTATAATATGCACTTTAAAAAGTTAATGGTGCAAATTCAATAGCAGGGTTCAGATTGTTGGTGGGGTGTTTTTTTTTGCTGACAGCTGCAGGGAGTCCCAGCAGCTCTGTCAGCATCCTGGATGTGCAGCAACACACACCCCACTCTCTGGGCACTTGTGGGCTGGAGTTTGTCCTGTCCACCCAACTCATCCCTCTTACAGCACAAGCCTCAGGTCATTCCGTACTCTGAGATTGGGAATGATGAAATCAGCTGACAGAGCTCCAGTTTAGGCATTTATTATCGAGCACAAGCACTGTTAACTGCTGCCCAGCTTTCTTGGTAGAATTAAAGCACAAGCACTCCCTCAATGCTGCTCAGACCAGCAAGAGCTCTGCTCTAAAAGCACATCTAGTGGAGGCAGGGCCTTTTACTGTCCTCATCCTTCTCCGAGAGGCTCTAGGAACAGCAAGCATTAGCAAGGGGAAGCATGTGGAAGGGTCTGCATTGCACCATTGAGGCTAACAGCCTTTTTTCTAGGTCTAAGAACCACAAGTTAGCTTTCCACAGAAACTTAAGGAAAAACTTCTTTCCTGTGAGGGTGCCGGAGCCCTGGGACAGGCTGCCCAGAGAGGGTGTGGAGTCTCCATCTCTGGAGATGTTCAAACCCACCTGGACACTTTCCTGTGCAACCTGCTGTAGGGGACCTGCTTTTGCAGCAGGTTGGACTGGATGATCTCCTGAGATCCCTTCCAGCCCCCACCAATCTGTGATTCCCCATTACCTGAGCCCAGTTTTCCCCTCCTCCTGCAAACCTGGCAGTGTGAATCAACTATTTTTCTCCCAGCATCACTTGAGTCTTGGTGTAGAAGGGATTTCTTAGCTCTGCTAGTAGAGAAGCATTTTCAAAGATCTCGTATTTTGACATCTGTCACTCCTGAGAGAGCGTCCACTTGGCAAAGAGAGATTACAAAGTAGAACAGGACCTAAAAGCATCTTTCACTAACAGATGTCGGCACCTTTCAGTGACAAACCTGCTGTTTGAGCTCTTCAAATAAAAGCCTCATTGCCCAGAGTCCATTTCTTCCTCATTTAGGACAATTTCTTCTGATATGGCACTGATCTGCTTTTACTGTGAAAAGCCACTGACAGCCAGTTCCTGCTCACATCAGAGCTCCACCTATTCCTTACCAAAACTCCCAAGTAAACAGCATTATCACTTCTGGAAATGAACCTGGCCTTAGGTTACACCTTCCACATCACATAGTCCTCCAGCCACTAGACCAGAAACTTCGCAATTGCTTAGAGTACAAGAGTTGTTGCCATAAAAATAAATCAAATTAATAAATTAAATTCTCCTCACTTCACATTCAAAATAGGGCCCACAGCTGTGCTCTAGCATTAGCACTGATACAGCCTTTACCCTACAATTAGCTCTGAGCAACCACTTCAGAAAGGCAGAAAAGCAACACACAACTTTAGAAACATCAATTGGTCCTCACCCCAAACATGCAGGCCTAAAAAACCCCTTCCCCTATCATAATGGCTTTGTGGGGAGACACCTTATTAACAGAACTGAATGAAACTCATTGCACTACTGGGGGTTGTAGCTTCAAGCATTTAAAGGATCCTTGAGGCATGTTAAGGATGAAGTTGAAAAGATTTTCACTTTTAAGCTTTCATTAATAAACCAGCATTTTAAGATTCCTGTTTTTAAAACAATCAAAAAGAGAAACTTCTGCTAACAGTTTTTAAAATACATCATAGTTAAAAATCTCATTGTAAATATAACAGCTCACATTTCCAGACTTGTTTTCTTTGAGAAACCCACACACAGAGAGCCCTGGCATCATCGTGTGTGAACTTTTACTTTCATGTCAAGTTAACACACAGTCTCCTCTTTTTCAATCAGCACTTACAATAAGATGTGGACAGATGCCCAGAAAGACCTCGACATCCAACTCCAGAGAGAAAGAGAAGAGTTCCTCCAGCCAGAGAAGGACTTTGTGAAAGTATTCAAGAAGTTAGCTGCTTCCTACATCAAATACATGCAAATCTTCCGTAAGTTGGAGGCGGCACATGACCACCTTGTTCACCAGCAGAAACGGGCAGTGATTCGGCAAGTGCTAGATGGTGTGATTGGCCGGATCCTGGAGGTGAAAAGAGAGATGGTGAAGCTGGAGAACTCGGAGTTTCAATATGTTGATGATCTCCTGGAAGATCTAAAGCTTGTCCCGGTAGGTCCACCTCTAGGATGAGCAAATTCACCACTTGCCCATCCTGTATTTTAAGGACAGTCACATTTACTCACAGTCTGAAGTTCCACCAAATGATCTTGCTTCCTGCACGTTCATTAGTGCACTGAGTGATCAGTATTTATATCATTTCTATTAAAGATCAGAGTATATTTGATGGACATTAGATATTAGAGTAAGATTTTAAAAGGAGGCTGAGGGGAGACCTTCTGGCTCTCTCCAACTCCCTGAAAGGAGGGTGGAGAGAGGTGGAGGTGGGTCTGTTCAACCAAAGACCAAGGGACAGCACAAGAGGAAATGGCCTCCAGTTGCACCAAGGGCAGTTGAGATTGGATGTGAGGAAGAATTTCTTTCCTGAAAAGAAATTCTTTATATTATAATAATATAATATAATATCAGGCATTGGAAGGGGTTGCCCAGGGCAGTGGTGGAGTCCCCATCCCTGGAGAGATTTAAAAGATGAGTAGATGTGGCACTTTAGGACATGGTTTAGTGGGCATGATAGATGGGACCGGATAGTTGGGATGATGTTTGGACTTGATGGTGTCAGAGATCTTTTCCAACCTCAGGAATTCTATGATCTGCTTGATCAATATGTTGCATTTCTGCATCTCTGTAGCAGCACAGGCTCTGTGGATCTTTCACTTGCACACATCCCAACGTGAAGCCATATTAACTTAAAACAGCTTCACTATTAATGACAGCAGCTTGGCTCTGCCTGATTTTAGCATGGGATTAAATAAAAGATGGACAACTGATAACTCAGTTCACTTCAGCCTGCCCTTTGCATGCCTGTGAATCAGCCTGGCCTCAGGCCTCTTCCAGAGGTGACAGATAATGCTAAAAGTTGAGTAGTCTGCTCTACAACAAACTACTACAGTGAGAAATCAGGAGCATGGTAAGTGTCCAGGGTTCAGTATCACCTTGATGTAAAAGCAGCCCCCTGACAGACACACAGCCCACTAAACCAGATAGATCTCCAATAAGGCAAAGTCTTGAAGCTGTTCTCTAAAAGCAGTGTGAAAAATCAGCTGCGAAAAGGCAGTTACTTCTCTCGCAGACAGCTCCATCTATTGTCACATTCAGGTACCGCTGCTTTTCTAAAGGGAAAAAAAAGTTGAAGCTTAAATTACTGCTTTGTCAGGATCCCAGTTACAACACGAAATAAATTGCCCAATATCTCTATAGAATTATTTTGAGATGTGCAAACATGTTTCTATTTACAATTTCATGTGTATTTCACTCTGTAAATTTAGAATAGTAATTACCATGAATTTTCATCAGCTCTTTACCTTTTACTTTAATCACAGCAGAGAAATATTTTAAACTCTAGGAGAATATAAACACATCTCCAGGGAAAATGAGCCTTCAAATCATATTTCTATATCATCAAGCACTGCTGTTTTCATCACTTATCAGTAAATCCACCTGCAGAAAAGTTGGCAAGTCTGAAAAGTCATACGTGACATCTATTAAAAAACAAGCAGAAATTCAGATTCCTGCACCACACCTTAGTTTTAAGAAGGCACAACATACCTACCTACTACTACAAAAAAAAAGTCACTGGAGAAAACTCAGGCTTTTTCAAAGAAAACATGATTTTCCATAGGAAATAGGAATGCAGATTTAGAGTATTTGGGTTTTTTTAATAAAATAATCACATATTCTTGGTTCCAAAACAAAATTACTGTCCAGCACTTGACAAATAACTGCTGTTTCTTAAAGAATCTGCCCACAAAGGATATCTCTGGTCCTACCTTTCCCTGTATTATCATGGGCTAAAATCCAGCATGATTGCAGAGAATTCAACTGCGTGGTCTCATTTTATATCTTGTGCAATGATATTACATACTTTTTACTATGTCACAGGAAGGCCAAGCTTCATCTTTCTTTAATTTTGTGCCTCATGTTTTTGTACAGTTGCTTTCCAACACTCAGTCACTCCATTTCCTGGGGTAATTGTAAAGGTATTTGGATACACAAATCCCATGTGGAGCCCGGAGTGGCTAAAAGGCAACAAATCTGACTTGAGAATAAACATCACAAATTTAACTTCTCAATGCTGAGCCCCAAAAAGAGATCATGAAGAGAAATATTCTCCTTACTCCCCACCCCTTCCAGCCCCAATATTATGGCTTTGATCTTATTTTTACAATCAGTAAAAGTCACAGTCCAGAATCACTTGTAATTACTTAATCACAGGTTAGTCATCAGAGATACTCATCATCACCCCTACACTGACCAACTCCACTGCTCCCTGACAGCGTAAAAGCCCCCTCATCCTATATGAGGGTGTCTAGACAAACCCCTTGATTTCTTCTACCTAAAACCAGCCAGATTTGTACTCCACCCTAGAGCGATTTGCACTTTTAAAGTACAACATATCATCATTTCCATCACCAGTCAAGGGTGTTAGAAGGTGCAAACAGGGAGCTTAACAAGACAAATATTTAGAAACTCTAGCAGCCCAGGCCTTTGCATTGATAAAATCAGTAAGGATAAAACACAGTCTTACTTGGAAGCTTTCTGGTGCTGCCATAATAGGGATGTCCAGGTCTGCACAGGGCGTAACGTGAGGGAATTAAATCTTTGTAATGAAGTCTTTAAGTTGGCAGTTCACAAGGGCTGTTTTTGTTGGCCACAGCCTTCCCTGCACATTCTTGCTCTAGGAATTGGAAGGCCTTAGAGCTCACAAGCAGCACTTTTACCATGTGCTTGTGTCAGAGTAGGAGCAGTGCTTGTTCTTTACAGCCCATACTCTTGCCCTCTGCATCTCTCCACACCAAAAGGTGCCATTGAGGCTGCAAAGGATCAAGTCAAAGGTCTCCCTGAACAGGTCAAAGCCCACTCAGCTTCCACATCATACAGAACACAGAGCACTGATAGCACTGCATCAAATCTTGTACCTGTCTTAGGCTCATTAGGCAAAAGGACCAAGTGTCCACATATACCTGGGGACTAATTGTCTAACTTGACTGTGCAAGTCCTCATGAGTAGTGTGGCAACTAGTGCCTGCCTTCCCCTATCCCTCCAAGTAAATCATTTGCTTGAGGAAATATTCTAGATATTCCTAAAATAGCATGTAGGGAACATGGCACCACTAGGAAAACACATCCCACCTCCTAAAGAAATGTACTTGCCAGTAATTATTCTTGAAGAATGTCTCCAGTCTTCAACACGATGCAAAAAACAGGTTATGCCATTCTGCAGCTTAACTTTTGGGGTAGTTTTTTCTCTGCCAGGCTGTCTTTTTTTTTCATTTCTCAACAAAAGTGAAATTCTACAGGAGAAGGATCGATAGAAATGTCAATCAGTTGCATCTTTTTAATGATGGAAATGGATGAAGACAACCACTTCTAATCCTACCTGATTTTAAGAAGTAACTAAGATATCATACAGACACTGACACTTTGTCTACAGGTAGAAATACCTGTAAACTAACAGAATTTTACTTGGGTTCCTTGTAATGGTTAAAAAAAAAAAAATGGCAAGAGAACAGGTCTATTTTTCATGTTGATTAAAAAAAAAGAAGTGGGATGATGGTACAACCAGAGGTATTCAATTCAGCGGAAATCATGTTTAAATTTCCAGCAACCCTGCCAAATATTTTAATGGTTTGATAACATAATTGAGCCATTATAAAAAGAAAGATTTCAGGGCTGCTGTGGTTCAGAAACTAGGTTGATTGATTTGTTTTCTGTTGAATTAGGCCTTAAGTAATTGCAAAGTAACAGCTCAGCAGCTGTTACAGAGGTCAAATTCCCCAACACTCCAAAATATTCAGCAATCTCAGTCCAATTTAATTGCTTTGTAGAAGTGTTCAATTAATAATGTGATTTTAATACACTTCTTAAAAGCATCTTATGACTATTTCTTCCTCTAGGAAGACATAGAAGTACCTATCCCAAAATATTTCATTAAAGAAAAGCTGGAAGACCTGCAGCAGAGGGAGAAAATCCTTGATCAGATTTTGCTTGACAGTGGATTACAAACAGAGGTAAGAAAACCACATACCTACGTAATAACATGCTTCACTTTTTTAGTTTATTTCCACACATTTCTGAACACATGAGCCACTGAAGTGAAAAGTATTTTTACAGCAGTAAAAGTCTGTTTACAGATAGGGCACAAACAAAGTCACATTCAAGTTTTCCTGTCTAACAAATATCCAGTCACATCTTGAACCTGGTTAAGACTGAAATGAATCAACTCTGCTTTGTGTGTGTGAGAGTGTCAGAGCAAAGGGCAGCGGTTTGGCCTAGTAGGGGCTTTGTGTGGCTAACTCTCATCGTACAATTG